GAGGGTGTAATTAAAGGAATAGTAGTATCCTGGTTTACATTCATAAAGTACTTTCTCCCCAGGCGAATAGGAAGATTTAGGGATACCCTTTAACTTCATAGACTGGTACAGTGGTGGTTTACCACAGCCACCTAGAAATAAGAAAACAGGAGCATAAAAATGAAATACGTAACCTCTTTGACAGCCAGGGACCGTGGCGGGGTGGCAGGCGGGGAGGATGGAATAAATGGAAAGGTCCTTGGCAGATTTTAAAGGCTTGGTCCCTGCTTTCCCCCAAGTGCCCTCGGAGTGGGCCATGGGCTGCACTGGCTTTCAATAGCATTCTATTCACTTTTGGTTTGTTGGAGAATGAGCTGAATTTTTTTCTAAATTTTTTAAAACACGTTTTTATTGATTGCGGAGAGGAAGGGAGAGGAAGGGAGGGACAGAAACACCAATGAAGAGAGGGAATCACTGACTGGCTGCCTCCTGCCTGGCCCCCAAATGGGGACACGGAGCTGGCAACCTAGACATGTGCCCTTGACCGGGATGGAACCCGGACCCTTCAGTCTGCAGGCCAACACTCCATCCACTGAGCCAAACTGGCTAGGTAGGGCATGAGCTGAGTTTTTATTCAACAGTAAATTTAAGAGACAAATATCAATGTGATAGCTATGTATCATTCCCCATTTCTTGTGAAATTCATTTCAAAACTCAATTCTCTTCCAAGAAGTCTTTTTCTCCCGTGTTATTCCTTCCCCACCCTCCACGCCCCTGCAGTATTTCCTTTTCATTTACCTGTGAGTTTGAAAATCTTCTTTTTTTTATTTTTTAAATTAAGGTATTATATATGTACATGTCTTACCATTTTCCCTGCCACCCCCCTCCCATCCATGCCTTCACCCCCCAGAGTTTTGCGTCCATTGATTATGCTTATGTGCATGCATACAAGTCCTTCAGTTGATCTGTTAGCTCCTTGAAAATCTTTTTAAAAATGTGTTAGAACTATTATGTAAAACTAGAGGCCTGATGCACAAAATTCGTGCAGGGGCCTTGGCCCTGGCAGGGAGCCCTCACCCACTGTGGCCTTTTCGGAAGGATGTCTGGTCTAATTAGTATATTATGCTTTTATTATTATAGATAACGTGGTGGAGACACATCAAATCAAGTCCTGCAGGGCTAAAAGAATCCAGTGGCCTCACCTACAAGGCTAAAGCTCTAACAAAGAAGAAAGATCTACGCTGATCCCCTAGGAACCTGGGTTGGTCTCACTTCAGATGGTGAGACCAGTCAAGGGAACTCTAAACAGGTCACATATTCACTCTTCTTTCATGTCATATTCTAGCTTCCACCAGACCCACCAAGAGAATTCCCAGGCCCTGGACTCTCGTGGGCCCGCTCTCCAGCCCGCGCCCGTGCACTGGGGGGCGCACTCCCCGCCCCGGCTCCTACCGAAGGATGTAGGGAGCAGGAGCACTGGGGTCACTAACATGACCCCCACGAAGCGCCAAGAAAAGGGGCTTTTGGGGCGGCGGGGCGCCGTCATTTTCCGGGAGGTCAGCGAACATTCGCATTTGGAGCGAGGACAACCAGACGCAACAATCGCGGGTCCTGACCGCGGGTGGGCGTGGCCTGCGCAGAGTCCCGGGGTGGGCGGGGCCATTCCGAGAAGGGGCGGGGCCATTCCGAGAATGGGCGGGCGGGCTGCGGAGGAACCAGAGTTGGCACCTAAGCCCTGGAGGGTGGGGGATGCGCTGGTCCCTTGCTCTAGTGGGCAGCTCTGGGGGAGGAGGGGGGGGAAGGAAACCAGAGCCGGCGGCATCATCTCTGTGTCTTTTCCGGCCCGCTGGCTGGGAGAAGAAAGCGCATTGATTTGAAAATAGAAACCCAGAGCGCAGAGCTGTGGGCCAGCATCCAGCCCGAGGGCTCCACTTTGGTCCTGGGGCCTTCCGGCTGTCAGCAGTGCCAGGACCCTTGCTCAGATGTGGCTCTAAAGCAGGCGTTGTTAGGGACAACCCTTGAGATTGCTGTGGTTGAAAGTCCGCTATGGAATCCCATCAAAGCCTGCTGGATTCCAAAATCACTAAGATGGTTTGTCCACTCCACCCCCAATCCCTAAAGGAAATGCCTTTGCTCCTATTCCCTTGAGAGGACCCCTGAGAAGGCACATTAATAAACACCATGACATTAAAGCATATTGGGACTCAACCTAGGGAGCCCTTGCCATTTCGGAACTAAATGACTTATTGAAGACGAATTTTACATGCTTGAAAAAGGTAAAGTCAAGGGTATGTGAGAAGGCAAATTCTTGGGAGCCATGAATGTTATAAGCACTATGAAAGTTAGGAATTAGCTAAGTGAAGTAGATAGGATGAACTTTTCTGGTGAAACAATCTCTCAAACAATGCTAAAAAAGTAAGAATGAGCAAGGTTTTTTCTTTTTGTAGAGTTGTGAGTAAATCTGTATGACTAATTTTATAAAAAGAGTAACGTGATGGCCGTTGAAGAGGAAACAAAAGGGGTTGACATTTCCCCCCCATATTATTTGGCAAAGGATGAAAACATCAACCAATGTGAGTGAACATTTTGACAGGGCCAGAGCCCTCCAAGTTTTAGTTTTTATCGATAGCATAACTATACTGTGTGTTAGAATATTTCAAATGGACACAGCTTTCAAACCACCATTTCCATTTGGACATTATCCCATAGAAATCATCAGAACTGTGAGCAAAGGTGTAGCGTTTGGGGGAAAATGTAAACCTTAAGTGTCCAGCTTTTAAAAATATTAAGGAATCAATTATAGGTAACTTTATAGGATGGAATTCCATGCAGTAAGCACTGTGAAAAAATGTCAGTGTGAGAAACTGCTCTATTCATAAGTGGGAAAAACAGGCTCTAAATCAGTATATACCCATTTTGGTATGCCTTTTATTAAAGCAAAATTAGTATATTGAACACATAAAAGAGATTATTAGTAATATATCACAAATAACAAATAGTTTATAGGATTATGGATATTTAGTTTTCTGTATTGATCTTATGTTACATTTGGAATCAGGTACAGAAAAAATTTAAAATCCAACATATGTATCATTGTCTACTTTGTTCATAAAATATTAGGGATGAAATCTGTATTACATTTGGGTTCAGGTATGAGAGGATGCTGATAAAATAGAAATTCTTCATATAACAAGAAATGCATCTTCTGGAATTACAACACTATATATATTTAAACAATGTTGCATCTGAGATGTAATAAAGACTTCATGGGTTCAAAAAAAATCATGGGATTTCCTCTTTCAGACCAGGACAATGTTTACATTCTGGGAAAGCATATAAGACAAGTAAGTGTGAAGGTGAAATATAAAATAACCACTTAGTGTATTAGATTTTAAAATCCAGACACTCCATAATGACACTTAACTGAAGGAGGTATAATTAAAGAGATAGTGAATGGGAAACTCATTGAGGGAGAATTATTATTACTGTTACATCTTATAGTGGTAAAAGAGTGAGGTAGTAACAGAAATGTTCTGTGGATCAATGTTGGTACTTATTTATGGAAACAGTACCTGTAGGAGTTGGCAAAAATAGATTTACAATTTTTCATATGGAGAACAATACAATAATTAATCAATAATATAAACTCTGTGTTTAGTGTACTCAAAAATTTTCTCATTTACTTTGAGATTTGGAAATAAGTTTTTGTGAGAAAATTTAGAAGGTAGGGAAAAAATATGGCTCAAGTTTGATAACCTAGTTATAGGTACTAGATTAGATTCAAGGACTGGGGTTTTACTGTGAAATTTCAATCAGTGAAATTCCATCAAACCATTCTTTTTAAAAAATTTATCTTTATTGGTGAAAGTATTGCAGATATCTTCTTTTTCTTCCCTTTGACCCTTTCCAACTGGAACCCACCCGCTGCCACAGGCCTTCACCACACCACCATCTATGTCCATGGGTCATGCATATATGCATATAAATTCTTCAGTTAATCTCTTCCCACCCATTCTTGCCTTCCCTCATCAGGCCATCTACACTAATAAAAAAGATACAAATTGACTGTATCTTTGGGACACCCACCAGCCAATCAGGAGTTAGTATGCAAACTAACCCCCAAAAGATGGAGCATTAATTTGCATACATAGGCACCCATTGACCTGTGATATATGGATACTGGGACCACAAACAATGAATATGCCAATATTATTGTTGCCCAACCCAAATTTTGTAAGAAAGGAAGGAAAACAAAGGGTAACTAGAATTTGAAGATTCTTCACCATCAACAAAACTGCCCAGTACTGCATTTTTCCTAAGAGTCTTACTTCCCCCCACCTTCCAGGTACCTGAAGTAGAAAATAAAAAGAAATGGAACAATTCTCCCTAAAATATTTCTCTCTTCTTTTAAAAAACAAACTCAACTATTGGTAGAGATTTCTTAGGAATTCAAAGATTTCTTAGAATTCAAATTTAGGCCATTTTAGATTTATAATGAGAAAATAGTGTTTTTGGTATTACATGTAAGTATAAAATGAAGCCAAGTCCATATGGACTTGGAGACACTGCACAAAGCAGCTGCTCTAGCCGCACCCATGACTTTGGCCGAAGCTCTGGTCTCTGGCAGAACAGACCGGAGGTCCTGAAGGGCAGCTCTGGATTTCACCAACACACAACACAACGCTCACTCACAGGGCCTTTCACAGGGCCTAACTGGCTGAATTAAACAAGGAAACAAATTTTTTTTTTTAAAACTAGTGATGATTCCTAAGGAGACATCTGAACCTAAATGTTCAAACAATGCCATTCTTACCTATTTGCAGTGAAACTATTAGGGACAAAGGGGGTAGAACTAAACAATATAATAGCACTAACACCTCCAAGCCTATAGTCAGAAAAAAATCACACCAACTTTAGTCAGTAAAAAGGACTAGCATTTAAAATATATTTTAATGAGAACACCTTCTAACATCTTTAAATAAAAAACGATCTGCACTTTTTAATCTGGAACAGCTCTGGCCTTAGGACTTAATGGCTTTCTGGTCCACGGGTTTCAGCTGCCACCGGACCACTAACTCGCCATTGCTCTTGAGGCAGGTGTGAGCCATGTCCTCCTCGGAGGGGAGTCCTTGTGGCAACTTCAGGGGCTTGATTCTTATCAAATGTTTAACCACTTTCAGTTTTGTGTTCACTGAAGGGATGTTCTTGTGAACTTGAGGGGTGTGCGCCTACAAAGAAAGGCAGACAGTGTTAGAGATGAATCCCAAAAACACAGACGGTGCCATGCTTCAGGAAAATGAATGAAGGCTCGTTCTGTCTAAGTCAAACTCTCAAACACATTCCACTAAATAACACACTTAAACAAAAAATATTAAATATATTCCTTGAAGTTTAAAAAGTGCCAAATTTAAAACAAATTTAAACCATGCGAAAGATGACTGAAATACTTGCATACCTTTTCTATTCCAAGCATCTTTATTACATCTTTTTCCCAATATGGACGGCCTTTTATACTTTTTATTCTGGTAACTATATGTAGTTTATGAGGGTTCTGTGGATCCCCACCGTATTTTTCATGATCTTCTGGTGAAGGTTGAAACACCTAGAAAGACAGACTCATAAATCATAAACTTTTAACTTATATAATTCATATATTCCTCCTTCTACCCCGCCTAAAAACAAACTAACAACAACAACAACAACAAACCTCAAAACAAATAACAACATAATGGTCTCATCCCTAATTTTTCTATAATTCTCAACCTAAAATTGAACATTTCTACAAGTCTGATTACTTATAGAATCTAAGATTTCATCCTCTAAGAAAATATCAGAGGCAAAGATTTTGTTTTTGTTTGTTTGTTTGAAGTTTGTTATCAGGAGCGACCAGATAACACTAAAGAGTTTGCATGGGAACTTCTTTGTTCCCGCTCCCTGGCCATCTTGGTGGCTGCTCTTGGTTGTGAGCCACCTGCACCTAAGCATCAGACAATGGCATATTATTCCTCCATAAACTAAGATGAGCTACACAGTCACAAAACTCAGGTATGGAGCTTTCATTACTTCTAGAACTTTTTTGGATTTCTGAGTCCCCAGATACCTTAGTGAAAAACAATTTGATATTTGCAAATGCATATTTTTCCTGAGTTCTAACCAGAGATTTTCCAGTTAATTTGTAATGTATCATTCTTTGGTTTAAATATACAGTTAACTAAAAACAAAACAAAGAAAAGAAATGAACTAACAAGTCATGTCAAGACATCAAGGCACCTTAACTTCTTTTTTAATTATGCCAAAGGAGTGAGGATATTTTTTGCATTGATTTCTAGCAGAGTGGAAGGCAAAAGAGACAGAAACATCAATGTGAGAGAGAAACATTGATTGGTAGCTTCCCACACACACCCTGACCAGCCTGGCAGCGGGCATCGAACTGCAACCAAGGTACATGCCCTTGATCAGGAATTAAACCTGGATCCTCCAGTGCTCTAACCATTGAGAAACACCAGCCAGGGCAGGCACCTTAATTTCTTATTACTAAAGTGAATGAAGCCAGTCTGGAAGGGTTACATACTGTATTATGCCAATTACATGACATTCTGGAAATGGCAAACCTATAGGCAGTAAAATAATCAGTGGTGACCAGGAGTTGTGGGATGAGAGGGTGGGATAAATAGGTGAAGCACAGACAATTTTTTAGGGCAGTGAAACCATTCAGCATGACACTTAATGGTGGGTACAGGACAGTATGTATTTGTCCAAACCCACAGAGTGTACAATACAAAGACTGAACCCTGAAGGAGGTTTGAAATTTGTTAATAATAATTGGCCAATATTGGTTTGTCAATCTAATAAATGTCTACCAATGTAAGAAAGTTGGGAGAGGGATTATGTGCAACTCTCTGTACTTTCTGTTCAATTTCTCTATAAACAAAACTGCTCTAGGAAATAAGTCTATTCACTGGCTTAGTCAGTGTTTTTTGGGGAAAAAAAAATCTATAATAATAATAAAAGCTCAATATGCTAATTAGACAGGATGTCCTTCTGGGAGTCCTTCCGGACGAAGCCGGGCTGGGAGGGAAGCCCAGGTCCCAGGTGCCAGACGGAGGCCGATGTCAGCAGCTGGGGGAAGGAAGGCCTACTCTTGCACGAATTTCGTGCCTCGGGCCTCTAGCATGTATACATAAACCTAGCAGAGAAAACTCGAAGATCCAAAGTGGCAACAGTCAACAGAGAAAGGAATGAGAAGAGCCACAAAGACAGCTTGGGAGCAGGAACAAGGAGACTGTTTTCTCTGGACAATGGTGATATGCAAATAACAAATATTAAGGGAAAAAACACATACAGTAATAACCAGATGCTGAGATCATTAGAACCCATTACTTGGAAGGCAAGAGGCACATGCTTATTTTTAATAATCATTTATATAAATCCTTCTCTGTTCTAAACTCTGCACTACTATGTACATCCACAAATGATTTAATATAAAAGTTTTCAACATTACAAAAACAGGAAACATTTTTTAAAAAAATAGTAACATTAAAACAAAAAAATAGTAACATTAAAACAAAAAATCCTTGTTCTTACACTATCTGGAATTCTTGACTTGGTAAATTTATGACGAATCCAATCCGTACAAAGGAGAGACTCCACACCTTTTGTCACGGTCTAAAATATAATATAAAACATTAGCTTTTTAGAACTCTGTCTAGTGCAGAAACCCGTATCAACTTTTGGGTGATAAGAGTTTGTTTTCACCTAACCTTTAATTTTATTTATTTACTTTTTAAAAATGTTTTTATTTAATTTAATTAATGTATTTATTTTAATCCTCACCCAAAGATATTTTTCTATGGATTTTTAGAGAGAGTGGAAGAGAGAGAGCAAGACAGAGAGAAATATTGCTGTGAGAGAAACAAATCGATTGGTTGCCTCCTGCACACGCCCCAACCAGGGCCCAAGCCAGGGAGGAGCCTGCAAACAAGGTATGTGCTCTTGTCTGGAATGGAACCCAGGACCCTTCGGTCCACAGACTGATGTTCTAATCACTGAGCCAAAACCAACTAGGGCCTAACCTGTAATTTTAAGCATTAATCTCAGCCCCCTACATGAATCTTACCACTAACATATTACAAAATAATTTTTTTTTAAAACCCACATTAATTATATATAGACTTCTAGACCAGGGCTGGCAATATTTCTCTGTAAAGAACCAGATAGTGAATATTTCCAGCTTGGAGCTATATGGTTTCCATTGCCAAGTCTCGATTCTGCCACTGTAGGGCAAAAATAGCCTAAACAATATAATAAACAAATGGAGGAGGCTGTGTTCCAATAAAACTTTATTTATAAAAAATAGGTGGATTTGGCCTGCAGGCTGCAATTTGCCAACCTCTGCTCTAGACAGTGTGCAATTATTCACCTTCAACAATACAATGTAAAAGAAAAGTCAAAATGAGTTTTCTTTCTAGTTCCAACAATTCCATCACCCCTAGTTCCTAACCCTTGTTCCCTTCCTATAACACCCTCCTCCCCCCCCCCCCCCCGCCTCCCCCTAAGTCCTATTTCTCTCAGTCTGCAAAAGAGAAAGGGCTCAGTGCCCATCCTTCACTCCAGGAAACTGCTCTCTGGATGGTTATAATCATTCCCATCAAGCCCTCCCTGTACTGCAGAGATGGCACAAACAACGAGAGAAGGTGCACTATCCTCTGAGCCAGACTGGCTGGGGCCAGACCAAATGATTTCACAGGCCTTACTTGGCCCTTGGCAGGATGTTCCCCACCCCTGATCTAGACTCTGGCCCTCATGAACAGGGTAAGCTGAACCACCGCAGTTTCTAAAAGAAAGACTGGAAGGAAATACATGACAATACAAACATGAATGGTCTCCGGGAGACTGTTTTTTCTTCTTTCTGTTTTTCTATATTTTTCTAATTTCCTAAGATTGAAAATGTACTCTTTTCATAATTGAAGGGGAAAAAAAAATAAACCCACCGTAAAATGATAGACTGTGACTCTAAATGATTAGGGACATAACAGCAGATAAATCATAAATAAACAAAATTAACCCTCAACCTTAAAAGATTAATATATAAAAATAGTTAAGTTTAACTTGCTTCTATGTTTTGTTAATTAGAAAAGAAACATACACATTTTACAGAAAGAAACAAAGAAAGAAAACTCTTGAAAATGAAAACTTACGGGTAGTCTGCCCAGGGGCCTCGGAACTACTGAGCGCAAAATCCCGGCCATGAGTGCGGTGAGTGGCTGTCCCCTGCAGAGGCTGCAGCAGGCAGAAAACAGATCTCTGGGTCAAATATGTCTTGAAAATAACAGATTCCCCCCTGTGCCTACAAAAATGAAACCAGTTCATTGTGAACTTGACTGAAGTTTAAGAGTAAAACTTTGGTTATTTTAGTATAATAAAGGCAAGAATTAAGTTATAGTAAATGTTTTATTTGGAGTTCAGCAAAACCTTAGGTAGTAATTAGACATGAACCACATCCTATTTTCACCAAATGAATTATAGTCTTAGAGGATTCAACAAAACTGGGAGCAATGGGGGCCACGAACGCCCATTATTTTTAAAAATTTTGTCCAACACTGAGGGCACACAAACAACGCTTTGTCATAGAATCACAAAAAGTTAAAGAGCTGAAGGGACAGAAGAAACCCCAAATCCTATCGTTAGAACTGATAATCTTATGTTAAATAGGAGGAGAATGAATCCCAGAAAGTTCCCCGAAGGGTGCTCAGCTCTCCAGGAAGTATACGGTCTAGAACTCAGTTCCATTAGCACCCAGTCCAATGCATTTTCACTAAATCATAACACCTTTATGTGAAAAGGCAAAGCAGAACTCTCTTTTCTGTCTAGTTGTGCTTTTTAAAACTATTTTTTAACAACCACACGTTGCTTCTACGACTTAAATAACAAAGTCATGTTTCTTTAGACACATAACAATTATAGCTCACTGTACTGATACATATAGTGAAAGCAGAAAGATAAGATGCATGACTTTGAACCTCAATCAATACAATACAGCATTCACAGTTTCTAGCTGAAATCACCCATTTTTGCTGGCTTTCCGGAAGCCCAAGGGACAGGGTCCGGCCAGTGGGGGACCCGCAAACACAAATGGGGGAACTCACCCCGCATCCAGACAGGCACTCCCGGCAAAACCGCAATCCTCGGGGCCACGCACGCCCCACTCACTCACCTCCGGGTGCTGGAGGGTGCGCAGCCTGAACAGGCCCGCCGGCAGGAAGCTGGACTGAGGACACCAGCGAGCGCCACCTTTAAACTCGGCCGTCACAGCCCGGGCAGAACGCCGCCCTTCCCAGGTTCCGGCCGACTCCCTGCCACTCCAGGGCCCCGAGGAGCGCGATCGGTCACGTGTCGGTGTCACGTGATCGCTTCCCGGAAAAGCCGCGGACCCGGCGCGCTCCGCCGGGGTTAGAGGCGGAAGGGAGTTCCCAGGGTCATGGCCAAACCCGGGCTGGGGCCGGACCCCGGGGGCGTCGCCGCAGCCGCGGTGCTGAAACGGGCGGTGGAGCTGGACGCCGAGTCCAGGTACCAGCAGGCTCTGGTGTGCTACCAGGAGGGGATCGACCTGCTGCTGCAGGTTCTCAAAGGTGAGCCGGGAGCCCTGGGGGCGGGGAGGGGAGAGAAGGAGAAAGGGGCAGCCTCCCGCAGTGTTGGGCAGAGGGGTACAAGTTCATGATGTCTTGGGCACCGCGAGGAAGCAGCCAGATACAGAGGGTCAAAAGGTCTGGTTTCTTTTACATATTTAATAGATGGATGTCAGCAAGAAAAAAAAAAAGGGAGAGGGGGGTAACTACTATAGAAGGTTAAGAGACATAACCAAATAGAATTCATATGCCCTTACAGGACTTGTGTTTGAACGAGCTGTAGAAGACCTTTTTAGATCATCTTGAGAGGTTAGACTACGGATTTGGCAACATTGAAATTGTTATCGTTGCTAGGCAGTAAGGTTTTCTTAGAAAACTTAAAAAAAAAAACTTTTTTAATTTTTAGAGAGGCAGACTTCGGGAAGAAATGCTGAAACAAATGTGGCAAAAACGCTAACCATGTTTAAATCTAGGTGCTGGGGAATAAGGATGTTTCTCGCTTGGGTACTCTTACTTTTCTCTTTAAGAGTTTCATTAAAAGTAAACAAAATTAAAATCACAAGGTGGTAGAAGAAAACTTTTTTTTTTCTCCCTGTAAGAATTAAATTTACTGATATTTGGTGTGAGGAATGCTAGATTGTGGCTGTGGACAGTAAGACTGTTACATAAAGTTTGGGTACAGTGTTGAAGTAACCAAATAACCCTAACACCAGCACAATCTCTGGTACATAGTAGATACCTAGTCATTGTTTTAAATTGATTAAGATCACCCCTTGCTTCCCTCACCCTGGAGGTCCCAGTCTGGCCCCCGCCCCCCAATACCACCTTGCCTTTTAGCCTGTTTATAATGTTATTAGAGGCCCAGTGCACGGATTTGTGCACTGGTGGGGTCCCTTGGCCTGGCCTGTGCCCTCTTGCAATCCAGGACCCATTGGGTGATGTCGGACTGTGAATTTCAGCCAAATCTCCCAGGACCAAGGCACACCTTGCTATGGGACAGGAAATGTGCAGGGGACTTGGGAAGCTGGGAAATAATGCCTATCCTACATAGAAAAGCTGTTTTGAAACTTGGGACTCTGTCTAATTTGTAGGCACCAAAGATGATACAAAGAAATGTAATCTCAGAAAAAAAATTTCTGACTACATGGATAGAGCAGAAAACATAAAGAAATACTTGGACCAAGAAAAAGAAGGTAAAGTGGCTGTGTTAGAGAATGTGTTCATACACTATTGCCAAAGCCCCCCCCTCTTTTTTTTTTATTGATTTAAATAATACATATGTCTCCTTTTCCCCTGATTGACCCTCTCCAACAACCACTCGCCCCTAAGCCCATTTCACCATGTGTTTCTGGCCCTGCCTTCGGAGCTTGGTGGAGTGAACCCTTTTACTCTGCATTTCTGCTCCCCTGTACAGAAGCTATTCTTAACCTTTTGTGGGGCTGAGCGGAGGGTGGGGTAGTAGTCAGACACCCTCTTGAGAATCTGATGAGAGCTATAAAGACTGTAGACCTTTGCCTGCTGTTTTAAGGAATTCACAGATCCCCATTAAACTTATGTGTGGACGCAGTTTAAGTTAACACTACAGAGGAATACTGAATATGAATCCTGTATTTAATTCGTATTTCTCTTTATAATATGACTAAAATACTAAACTATCTAAGGAAACTCCTGGGACGTCTTTGGGTTTTTGTTGTGAATCAGAACATTTCAGTTAGAGATGCATAGTATTGCTCCCTATTTATTATTAGTTCTCTCCTCATGAGCATTCTAGTTTCCAAACATATAAATCTTAAAGATCTTTGATAAGTTATTCAATAATTATTCAATTTTAGTGAGTCCTACTGATCCTCTGGCACCCTAGTCTTTGGCTTGGGTTATTGAGAAGTACTACCAATTTCTGTTTAAAACATTCCCATACAAATTCTAATAAAGACTTCTGAACTTCACATTATATGCTCAGTGGTTAGAGCATCAGCCTGTGGACTGAAGGGTACCAGGTTCAATTCCAGTCAAGGGCATGTACCTTGGTTATGGGCACATCCCTAGTAAGGAATGTGCAGGAGCAGCTGATTGATGTTTCTCTCTCATTGATGTTTCTCACTATCCCTCTCTCTTCCTCCATGTAAAAAAAAAAAAGCAATATAAAATATATATGTACATTTTTTTAAAAGACCTAAATCTAAAGAGAAGGACCAGATAGCTACTGCAGTTCTACTTATAGTGACAAGAATATCAGATATCTTTATGCATACAGTCCTCTCTTGAATAAAATGCCAGTTCCTAGGAATCAGCTCAAGAACCTGTTTCAAGAAATCTCTGGACCTTCCCACTTGCCTGGTCTCTGTAAAGGCAGAAGTCACTTGTGGAATGCTTTGCCTTATTTACCTCTATATGTGTAGCATCCTGCCATGTGCCTGGTATACATCAGGGATTAAAAAATATTTACTGAGTGGAGGAGTTAAAATTAATTTGTATCTGCTCCTGATGAATCACTATATATAAATGTAATAAGTATAAAAATAAAATAAATTGTTGCTAGTTTTTTTTTTTTTTAGTAAAGCTTATGTTTTGTAGATGGAAAGTATCACAAGCAAATTAAAATAGAGGAGAATGCAACAGGATTCAGTTATGAATCAGTTTTTCAAGAATACCTTAATGAGACAGTGAGAGAAGTTTGGATAGAAGATCCTTATATAAGAACTAATCATCAGGTAAGTATAACACAAACATGTGATGAAATGTTATTTAAAACTAGAGGCTGGGTGGACGAAATTCATTCATGGGGGGTGTGTTCCGCAGCCCAGCATGTACCCTCTCCAATCTGGAACCACTTGAGGGAAATCAGACATCCCTCTCACAATCCAGGACTGTTGGCTCCCAACTGCTCGCCTGCCTGCCTGCCTGCCTTCCTGATTGTCCCTAACCACTTCTGCCTGCCAGCCTGATTACCTCCTAACCACTCCCCTGCCATCTTAATTGATGCCTAACTGCTCCCTGCCAGCCCAATTGCACCCAACTGCCTCCCCTGCAGCCTGGGTCCCTCCAAATTGTCGCTCCTGCTAGCCATCTTGTGGTGGCCATTTTTTGTCCACATGGGGCAGGATCTTTGGTTTGCAGGCTGGCCATGCCCCACAGTGACCCAAGCATAGGGTGGAAACAGGTATCTAGGATTGATTTATCTTCTATATTTGAAACTTTGTAGCCTTGAGCGGAGACCAGGGCAGTTGGAAAGTTTGTCTTCCTCCATCTCCGGGGACAACCCAAACCTCCCGCTGGCTCCAGCTCCATGGCCACCGCATTCTTTGTTGGGTTAATTTGCATACCTGCTCCTGATTGGCTTGTGGGTGTAGCAGGTTTACAGTCAATTTGCATGTTTCTCTTTTATTAGATAGGATGTGCAATTTAGTAGTAACCTATTCTAATGTCTTTCAGCTGTATAACTTTCTTCGGTTTTGTGAGATGCTTATCAAGAAGCCATGTAAAGTACAAACGATTCATCTTTTGACCTCCCTGGATGAAGTAGGTATCTGAAGACATTTACTCTTTCTTAACTTCATGTTATTCCGTTACAAGATTCATTTCAAGCAAGGAAAACCTGGACATAATGATTCAACTAGAGGTATTTCCTTGGGGTGAACTTATTTTCTAACAATGGGCATAACACACCTGGAGAAAATGCTGTTGATTTTAATGCCTTATATCTTGCAGTTGGCCAGTTTGTTAAACTTGATTCAAATAGTTTGAAAGTTCTAAGTGACAATCACACTGTCTACACTGTTGACAATTTTGTGTGTTTTTTTCCCTACCAGTTGTCACATTTATCTTTTTCTTGATTGATTGCATTGGCATTCTGGGGAATCATAGCATGGTAGTGGGCATCTTTTGATTTTGACTTACATAGGAATGCTTCTAAATAATTCAGATTTCTAGGATTAATTTGCAAACAAGCCAGTCCCATCTGAGTAATTAAACAGCATTACTATAAGTATATTTTAGGAGATAGGACAGAGTTATATCCACATTAGAAAAAACACAATTCTTTTGATAAAAACAATTGCTTATAAACTATTTCTTATTCCTTGTTGGCTTCTTTGAGATTAATAGACATTGACACTAGTGTAGAATTTTTCCATTTTGTTTTATTTTTTAATCTTTCCATTTTAATCACCTGTGATACACTTTGCATAGCTAAGGGATAATATAAAATATTAATAACTGAGTCATAAAATGCTATTTTTCCTATTAAAAGGGCGGTGGGAGAGGGCAGCAAATTAGTGGCCTGGAAGAAATAAAAGCATCACTGAGGAATCATGGAGTGCTGTTGGAATTAGAATATTCTTCTTCCATACATGACCGAGAAATCAGGTTAGTATACAGTAATATTTTAACTTCTATGCAGTTGAAAAATACTTATTTTTACTTCTCTTGAGTTTTATATAATTGCACATAAATATTCCATTTAAATATTGAATTTTTTAAATAAAGCTCAGTTCTAGTATCTTTTCATTTTTAAAAAAATATATTTTATTGATTTTTTACAGAGAGGAAGGGAGAGAGATAGAGAGCTAGAAACGTCGATGAGAGAGAAACATCGACCAGCTGCCCCCTGCGCACCCCCAACCGGGAATGTGCCCACAACCAATGCCCTTGACCTGAATCGAACCTGGGACCCTTCAGTCCGCAGACCGACTCTCTACCACTGAGCCAAACCGGTTTCGGCTCTTTTCACTTTTGAAAAAAAAATAATCTGGCTTATTTTGTCCTGTATGTGTTTCCTATTTCCTGATGGAATAAAATTTACATGTTCTATGTCATGTCTATGTCTAAGAAGAGAAGTACTTTTTTGTCTATTCAGTTTGATATATTGTGTTATGGTATTGAGATAATTTATTTCCTTTTGTGTGATACTGATAATTAATGTGTCTTTACTTCTTAAGCTTTATAAAATATTTTAGTAGGCACAATAGTATTCTGTGTCCATAAAGAAACAGTATGTGCAGTTTTTCTTTAGTAGTATGTTCCCTGTGTTTAGCACAGTGCCTTTCATATGTTGACTAGAGGGCCAGTGCATGAATTCATGCACAGGTAGGGTCTGGCCGGCCATCCCTGATTGGCGTGTTGGGGGCCAATCGGGGACGGTTGGGGAGAGGGGCCTGACTGGGGCCTGGATCAGGCTGGTTATATGGATAAGAGGACTATTAAGCCACAGTGCATGTCACAGCCACCAGTTATTCTGGTTGTTCTGCCATTCTGGTCACTGGGTTTTTATATATATACTAGAGGCCCGTTGCATGAAAATTCATGCACTGGAGGTAGGGGGCCCTCAGTCCGGGCTGCTCCCTCTCCTAGTCCCTGCCCTCAGTGGTGGGAGACGACCCAGCGATCAGGGGAAGGCAACACCCCCATCATACCTCTGCTGCTGCCACTGCTGGCAGTGCAAGCCTTGGGCAGCCCTGAGTGGCTGGGCAGCTGCCATCCAAGGCTTGCCTGTGGCTCGGGCCAGCCCTGGGCAGCTGCACAGCTGCCATTCGAAGTTTGCCTGCACCTCAGGCTGGTCCTGGGCAGCTGGCGGGCTGAGGGAACTGGGGGACTTAGGAGGCAGGCGCATGGAGCAGCTGGACCCACCTGGGGGCAGGCCTGGCCATGCCACATGCCTGCTGCCCTGGCGGGGATGAGGAGACTGGGCACCACCATCTTTGAGGGCATGGCACTCGATTAGCATATTTCCTCCTTATTGGCTGTGAGTGCCGCCATCTTTTTGAGGACTTGATGGTCAATTATCATATTCCCTTTTATATTAGATAGGATAGATAGATAGCAATGGCACCTCCAATCTTAGAAAAAACTTAAGCACAGCCTAAATGCAAAACCTATGACAATGCAGCTGCTGTGGTTGAAGCAGACAGAGGTCAGGATCCACAGCTCTTCCTGCTTATGTCTCCCATCACCAGGTAGGAAAACCCCTGAACCACCACCACAGTCTGCCTGAGTATACTTTGAAACCATGTGTTGGCAGATCAGAAAAGTTTTATCAGCAGCAAGCTGAAATTCAGTAGTAAGTTTTTTATTTTCACCCAAGGATATGTTTATTGATTTTAGAGAGAAGAAGGGGGAGAGAAAAAGAAACATTGATGCGAGAGAGAAATATCAATCATTTGCATCTTTCACATGCCCGACCAGGGATCTCACTGAAACCTAGGTACGGGCCCTGACCAGAAGTCGAACCCATAACCTTCTGGTGTATGGGATGATGCTCCAACTGAGCCACCTGGCCAGGGCTCAAGAGTAAGTTTTAATGTAATTGTTAAACTCTTATCACTTAATCACATCAACCCATGGTTTCTCTGAATGTTCTATTTCATCGTAGACACAGCCCATGAGTTACCCCAGGTTTGGCTCAACTTATGCTCCTGGAGGAAATGGTTTTCTTTTAGGGGGCGATTTGCTGACACTTCATACCCTACGGCTTTGCTAATGGTCTGGCATAACTGTCTGGAATATAATACTACATGCTTATTTCAATAGGTTCAACAATGGATGGATGATTAAGATTGGAAGGGGACTGGATTATTTTAAGAGACCACAGGTAGGAAATAGCCTTATGAGTGGGTAGCACTCGTTTTGTATCATTTTAGCATGGCTTTGGTTCTTTGTTAAAAAATTATTTTCTTCTCTTCTTAGGGTCGTTTTTCCCTTGGATATTGTGATTTGGATTTAAGACCATGTCATGAAACAACAGTGGACATTTTTCATAACAGGCACACAAAAAAAATATGATGGACACTAGCTTAATTTACATTGTATATTTCTATTTTAAGTGAATATTAGATGTTTTTATACTTGGGACAGATTACTCCTATAAAATGTGAATAATAAACTTGTACATTCCTACTAATTTATGGATTCGTTGTTCAGTTGTGACCAATCTTAAATATCTTCGTAAATACATTACTTAGATTTACAGTGTTTTAAGTCGTACAGTTAATTTAAACATTTTACCAGCTTTTCTATTACTTGGGTGTTAGAGAGTGAATCAACAAATAATGAGTACCTATTGTAAAGATGAGTTAGATGTTACAGTGCCCCTGGGAATTTAGAGTCAAGGAGGAAAAATATGGATAAGAGGACTCTTAAGAGACAGATGGGCTTATGGGTTTAATATCCAGGAAAAAAGCACAATGTTAGTTTTGTTAAAATAGAATGTCTTTGGCAGACCCTCACCAATATTTACTTATTTACCATTACCTAACTCCACAAAGGCAACTCAAACTATTTAGTTATTCAGATGCATTTTGCAGCTCATTCAACCCTGGCTGGTACATTTATAAAGTTTTGCAATTTAGAATCAATTGTTCTGGGTAAGCTCATCCATCAAGATGCCAATTGACTGGTTAGGAACAAAGACTACGTTGTATTTCCCTAGCTGGTTTGGCTCAGTGGATAGAGGATCAGCCTGTGGACAGAAGAGTCCTGGCTTTGATTCTGGTCAAGGGCAGATGCCCAGCTTGTAGGCTCTATCCCCAGTGGGGGGCATGCAGGAGGCAGCGTTCAATGATTCTCATCACTCATGTTTTTTTTTTTTTCCTTTCCTCTCTGAAATCAATAAAATATTTATATATATATTTTTAAAAAGCATCCTTTTTTAAAAAATTAGATTATACGAAGTTAGACTGGGAGAGAGGATACAGATAGAAGCAATGGGCAATCCAGAAACTTACTAGTAAAGATTAAGTTAACCCAGACTCTACAGAGAGATACAGAAGCACTGGTGTTAAAGAGGGCTCATATGAACATCACATCAGGAGAAAAATTGAAGATGAAATACAAAATTAAATAGTGCTGATGACCAAGAAGGGATTTCAGAAAATTTCCTGATGTTTTTCTTTGATGTTTCCAGGTTCAGGTGCTGATAATGGTGAACCTGAAAATATTCAAATTAGTTTTGCCCAACTTTATTATGTGTCACTGGTGAAGGGCTTCTTGCCATCCCCTCTTCTCCCAAAATAGAAATCATGAGAGGAAGTGAAACATTCCAAAGAAGAGGTTTACTGAAAACAAGGTGGAAGGAAAGGAGGGAAGGAGCTTGATGCAACAAGGAAGTACACACCAGTGAGGAATGTGGCTTGCTGAACTGCTGTTGGGTCTGGCTCATATAGGGCTTGGTTCTTCATGCAGGCCCAGTTCTTATTTATGATTCATTGGTCGATTCTTGTATGTTCCCTGGCCGGGGATCAAACTCACAAACTTGGCCTATAGTAGGGACAACTCTCTAACCAACTGCTACCTGGCCAGGGGAGTGATGTTACTCTTTCTAGAAGTTTGGCAATGAATAGAGCAGGAGAGTTTCGTTCATTCACTATGGGTAAGGATCCAGTGGAAGTTGAGAGAAAATACAAAAAAAAAAAGAGAGAGAAGATAAATATTATGATAGGACAAGGCTCAAATAGGCTGGAGAGGACAAAAACTATGGTACAATTAGAGGGATTAGTTTTAAGGAAAAGGAAATATTTCTCTGAGATTGGATGAAATGAGAAATGTTGAAATAGACAACATGGGGGACTAAAGGCACTCATTTCTGAAGACCTCTGCTATCACATCATGAGTCAAGGTTTGTGACAAGATTAAGAGTAGTGGAGCCCTGACTGGTTTGGCTCAGTGGATAGTGTTGGCCTGGGGAGTGAGGGGTCCCGGGTTTGATTCCGGTCAGGGCATATGCCTTGGATGTGGGCAGATCCAGAGTTGGGGGTGTGCAGGAGGCAGCCGATAGATGTTTCTCTCTTGTTGATGTTTCTAACTCTCTATCCTTCTCCTTTCCTCTCTAAAAAACCAATAAAATATATTTTTTTAAAAAGAATAGTGGAATTCTGAGCCAAAAAGTGAAAACATTTAGGAGTAATGCCTCTGAAAAATGATAAGGAATCAAAGATGAGTTGAATATGACACCACAGAAAAAAGAAACAAATTGAAAACTAAATATGAATTGAGTTAATCTGAATGATAATGTAAATTTTTTCCCATACTGTCTGCCATTTCGACATAGGAGTAAAAGAAAAAAAAAATCAATTGTTGAGATTTAAAACAGGCTTGATTTAATGGGACAGGATGGAAGGATAAGAAGATATAACTAAAAGGGAGAATTTTAGAGTTTAAAGTATCAGAGGTGGCAAGAAGCCTGGGCAGTATTGCCCAGAAGTAAGAAATATCTTATAAAGAATGAAAATCATAGTGTCTGATATGGTAAACATTCCCAAGGTGGTAAAAGAGGCAGGAGCTAAAATACAAATGCATGCCAGGTATTAAAATCAGCGAGGAAAGAGACAGAGGATCCCAGAGATCAGTAGAAAATATGGACAAGGATAGGGGATAGACACAAATGGGGAGAAGTTATTCAAAGAAACTAGACCCTTTTGCCGAAGCCGGTTTGGATCAGTGGTAGAGCGTCGGTCTGCGGACTGAAAGGTTCCAGGTTCGATTCCGGTCAAGGGTATGTACCTTGGTTGCCGGCACATCCCCGGTGGGGGGTGTGCATGAGGCAGCTGGTCGATGTTTCTCTCTCATCGACATTTCTAGCTCTCTATCTCTCTCCCTTTCTCTCTGTTAAAAATAAATAAAATATATTAAAAAAAAAAAAAGAAAGAAACTAGACCCCTTTAATTTTAAGAGACGTACAATGCACATCGAAAATTTTTATTTACTCACTGAACCTGCCAATATTAACTTTAGTTGCAGTCACATAATTCCCTTAATTTTTTCACAGACAATATTCCATTTACTGTGTACTTCATCGTCTTCCAGACTTGTCCCATGTGACATATTTGTTAGCATAGTAGTTTCAATAGGGCAGAACTTACTGCCAATAAAAGTTGAGTTTAATTTGTCACATATTTCCCGTGGCAACCAATGATCAGGTGCTTCAATGTGACAGGTTTCAATTCTCCCATTCTTCACATCTATGAGAACTTTAATTTCCAAGAGGGACTGTTCATGTAACACATTGAAGGAGGTTTGTATACTGAACTTCGGAGTTTTGCCATAGATCCATTCCCAGGTTTGCAGTTCTTGGGCTTTGCTATTTATTCCAGGAAACTGTGTCTCATCTGTTGGGTTTATCAAGTTGATGTGATTCTCAATGTGATGACAAGCAGCGTACTCTGCCACAATAGCGTCTGTCAGGATTTCACAGGTCAGAGTGGGGTCTTTTTCCACCAGACCTTTCACTAAGGCAGGTATGCTAGCAGTTGCATGGCTCCTGATCCCTTGGTAAGGGGTCTTGAGCAAAGACGACAAGAGGGTCGCATCAGTACGATATAACAAAGTGCAGTGGTGATAAGCAGTAGTCCGGCCAATCTTAGAAGCTGTTCCAGAGATTTTAAACTGTCCGTCAAGTAAAAGGTCAAACCTTTTGGTAGGCTGCACATCCAGCTGGGGTTGGACAGCATTCAGAGCTCTCACAACTAACTTCAGATTTTCCATCCGATTATACATTTTTCTGGTTGTAAAAAAAGTCAAGTTGATATTGCCCAGGTCATGGTAAACTGTGCCTCCTCCACTTTTTCTCCGAGCCAGTTTGACACCTTTTTCTCTCATCAGAGTCAGGTTACATTCCTGCCAAGGGTTTTGATGCCTACCAATTACAACAGAGGGAGAATTTCTCCAAAAGAACAGAATCGGCTTGCTTTCTAGGTTCACGTGATCATGGATCCAATCTTCCACAGCCAGGTTTTGGTAGATATCATTGGAAACTGACTGTAAAATGAGCCCTCTTTTTATTGTGTTCTTAAAGCCAGTTGCTGGGACCTTGAAGTTACAAAATGACTTTAAGCAATTCTTTGAAAATGGGATCAGCATGCTTTTAAAAAATGGGAAGCAAACAAATGGTTGAGAAGCGGAACACTGTTTTTCTTTCTTGATTATTTAATCCAAACGTATCTAATTCTCTATCCAGGACAGTTGCTTTTCTTGCCTTTTAGCTTTACCATTTGTCTTTAGCAATTTGACAACAGAGACCTAGAAGTAAATGAAGACAAACCTCAAATAATTTCTCTTGAAATGGCATGGGAGCCCAGATCTTTAAACAATAAATTTTCAAATATATAATGTATCTCAAAGTCAAACCAGTTATTTTGAATATATAGGTAGTACACGTTAATTGGGAAAGATGAGAATATTGTAGATAAGTAAAAAGAGCTAACTAAAAGACTCCATAGTACCACCGAGAGATAATCACGGTTTACAGTGTGTACTCATTTTTCTCTGTGCATGTGTAAGCACACATACTTTTCCCCACAGAAGAGAACCATACTATTTCATTCCATGTTAAATCTGTTTTCACATCAGCTTTAGTGTTGTATAATATTCCATTGTCAGATATATCATAGTTTATTCAATCAATCTTTGTAATTTAGTTTGTTTCTAGTTCTTCTGTTATCAGCAATGTATTCATGAACATCACTGTGGAAAGCTTTATGCTATATAATATTTTATTTGACTGATTTACTGGCAACATAACTCAGATCAATATTAGATTATGATGGACTCCCTGAAGTCAAATGGAGAGGCAATCTGATTAACAGGTTATATGAAATAATCTATATACATAAAAACCTAAGGGAACTGCAGACTGGCCAACTGGCTGGTAGCTATGATACCTAATGACCAAAGGGGACAAACGCTCAATGCAGGAGCTGCGGAGCTGCGGTGACTTGGCAGCTGCGGTTCTAGGGTGATTCACCCAGAAAGGAAGTAGCCTGATTCTGGGGTGCATCACCCAAGAACCATCCCCTCACAATCTGGGACCCCTCAAGGGATGTCAGAGAGCCAGTTTCAGTCCGATCTCTGCAAACCAGGCTGAGGGTTCCCACCTGTGCATGAATCCATGCACCAGGCCTCTAGCTTTATTATGTTTGGGCATTATTTTATTTTTTTTAGCAGTGCTGATTAAATATTAGTGGCAATAGGCTGAAAATACTAGTTATACCAATGAAATATTTTGACTAGTTATGGTCGTAAATAAACCATTCTGTCCCAATTCTGTTTCTTAGGATGGTCATAATATTTCTTTTAGTTAAAGAACTGGGATAGAATGAATTATTAAAGTCCAAAAGTAGGCCAAAGTCTTTTGTAGTTAAGTAATATCCTAGAAACACAATTCCCAAGTTAGAGTTTCAGATTTTCATCACTCTTGATATATTTTGATAAATTATGCTACAGAAAAGTTGAGCCAATTTACACCAGAGAGGTCAGGACAGTTTAATAGAGGAAGAGATACTTGAACTGTCTTGAAATCTGCTGGAGTTACCAAGTGGATGGGAGTAGCATATTCCAGACACAAAAAGACAAGAAGTTATCGATTAGTAAGGCATGTTTTGGAGACTCCCTCCCCAGGGACAGGCTTAACCCTTCTAGTCTTCTGGCTGCACTGACATCCATGCTACATTGCCTTGGGAAGTCCCTGCAGCCAGACTGCACTTCTTCGGTTAACCAAACAGAAAGCAAGCAGTAAGTCACATTCATCCACCGAGGCAGCCCCAGCTCCTTCAGAAACCTCTGCGCGTCCTCCTGCCATTTCTGACAGTGCGTCCCTGACCCAGAGTCTCAGGACGGCCCTGTGCACGTTTTATTTCGCCTTTCCGGATCGGTGGGATGGCACCCAACACGTTTTAGGTTTTACCCTCCGATATTGGGGAGAAGACTTTTCCAACCGGGAGCCGACTACTCCCAGGGGCTGAGCGCACACTGCAGCGCCTCCGGCACCAGCGCGCGGATCCGGGCCTGGGGGGCTCCCACCTTCCCGCCCGCCCGGCCAGCGGCGCCCCAGAACCCCGGGTTCAGCCGGGATTTCCCACCTGCTGCTCCCAGTCGCGCTGATTCGAGCTGAGCACCCAGCAGTGCGGTCTCCCCGGCTGGCAGGCTGCGCGTGCAGTGGACCCCGCCCCGCCCCGGAAGTAGTCCTAAGAGCCACCGGAAGTACCCTGAAGACCTGGGCTTTACGCTCCCCTGTGCGGTCCGCGCGGGTCTGAGTGACCCGGAAGGACTTCTGAGGGACCTTGGCAGTGGCCGTGCCAGCGCCAAACCAGGTTAGAGGCCAGGACGCGGGCACGACCTAACCACAGAGCCGACCAATTAGGTGGACACGCACTGCGTCACCATCGGAGCGGGGGTGGGATGGGCGGCTGTGTCCGGCTGGAGCGGGCACTTCGTGGACGAGTCTGGGCGAGGCCACCAGAAACCCAGGGCATCAAGGTCCCATGCCAGGCCCGGTGCCAGCAAGTAAGTGCTTTCACAGTGATCAGGCATTGCACCCGGTCTGCTTTCCACAGCCCAAAAGGAGGTCACTCCACTTGGGAGGCGAGGAAACTACAATCAGTTGGGAAAGACATTGTATTTAAAGGAACATTGTACTGCATCTTTTTTTTTTTTTTTTAATATGGAAAATTTACTTATCAGAAACAATAAAACTCCAAAAAGTGCTTACTTGAGGATTCCACTTACACAAGTCTCCCCCAAAACAAACACCCAAGTGACGCTGTTGTTCTGATGAAACGTCCCATTGCACCGCTTTCACGGAAAGTCTGGGAATTTCCCTTCCCAGGTGTGCCGTCTGATTTATGGCTTGCATGGGATTTGAGGATCCCAATTTTATGAAGTCTTAGTAGTAGTGGTTCTCAATGAGGGTAATTAATGTTTGTATTTTTTGTTGTCTCAGTGACTGGGTGTGCTACCACATTTGACATCCTGCAGGGAATGGGGCATCACACACAATGAAAGATCATCCCAAATTCAACATCCAATACAGATATGAAATGTCCTGTTGGACATTTGTGGACGTGAAACACCAGTCTGTAAATGCCTGAGTAAAGTTCCCCACCTCCTTTTTTAAGTGGTTTTGCTAAGGTCACTGGTGACATGTTGCTAGATCCAATGGACTTTTTAATCCTCATCTAAACTTTTAGTTGACTACCTCCATCTTAACGACTCCTGTGGGCAATCTTGACATTACCAACCTCACTGCCAACTCTCAGTCTCCTTTGCCAGCTCCCCTGCTGGCGCAACCTGCTCCTAAATGTTGGAGTTTTTCAGGACTTAATCTCAAACTATACATTCACCTTAAGCAATATCATTCATTCCTATTGCTTTAAATAGCATTTCTGTATACAACTTCAAAATGTTTATGTGTTTAGCTCCACACATACAGACTTTGGAAACCCGGGATGTCCAAAAACTATGCCCTTTGCATACCTCTCCCCCAGGAACCTCCATGCATTTAGCTTTTTTTTTTTTTTTTTTTCTAGAAACACCTTCTTTTTCCTCCTCACTTTCAGGTCACCAGTACATCCTGCCAAACTTTACTCGGACTCTATACCCTTCTTAACACCTCAGTCATCACCATCATCTCATTTGGACAACCATGTCCATGCAAAAGCTATGCCTATCATGTCCTCAGAGAAGCCTTTCTAGTAATATTATGAAAAAATCAAGTTTATGTGTTATGTCTCCTCAACTGTCTCTTTGAACATTTTACTTTTTCTTCTTGGCACACAAGTTGTATCTTATATATTTATTATCTGATGTTCTATCTTCTCTGTAGCCAGACAGTAAGCACTGTAAAGGCAGTACCTATTTTACTCACTACTGCATGTCCAGCACCGAGTATGCCAGGTTAAGTGAACAAGTGAATGAGTTGTGTATTTTTTCTCTCTCAAGCAATTCAGGTTGGGTGAACAAATGAATGATTTGTGTATTTTTTTCTCTCCTAAAGAATTATGTTCTGTGAATGATGAAAAGCATCATCTTACTGGTTATGTCTCATTCAACACCTTTTATATGTGTATATATATATATACACACACACACTCTTGGTTTAGTACTGTTTAATTTATAAAATATTGCTTCCCCTTAAAGAAGCCTTTTTCTTTTCTTTTTCTTTTTGAGGATATGAAGGATATTACTCAGCATTAGAGATAGTCATTAAATATTAAAATATAGGTAAATGTTCAAAACACACATAATATAAACAGTTACAACTCATAATATGTCCAGACACAAAATGGTTTTAATTTCATCTAGCATTATTTGAGAAAATACTGCCATTTCAAATTACTACATATTTCAATAAGAAAGGCAAAATGATATATATTAAATAATAATTTTAAGGCTATTTCCTTATATTAAATATTGGTGGTATAAAATGGTAGCAACTGTAAGATAAACTACACTTTGAAATAACTATGTTGTAACTGAAATGAATTTGATGTGGAAGAAATAATAACAGTTTAAAAAGATGATTTAAAATGTGAAATGCTTTTCAAAGTATGCAATTTACTGTAGGATTTTTTTGCATAGTTTATCTAGAGTGAACTTTTACATAACAGAAATGTAAAAATGTAGAAAGATAAAGTCCCCTCAAGCAAAATCCCATACTGGAAATCTAACATGCAAAATTGGTACACAAGAAATAGTATGACATAATGATGTCAAATTGTTTGGGCACTGTTTTGTGTTTTTTTATTACTAGTTAAATACTTTATCATTAATATGTTTTAGTGCCATTTAAATACTTTTAGTCAAAACACTGACTTTGACAAGGATAGAATACCAGAGAAATCTACTTTGAATTTTGGAAAGCTTTCTCTCCCTAAAGCAACTATTTTGAATTTGTATCATCAAAAAAGTATAGTCTAAGGTGATTTATAAACAGCAGAGGGAAAAAGCAATCATCTTCCTTCATTTTGTTAGTTTTCCTATTGAGGTCAAGTTCTCAATCAATATGCCCTGTTAGTCAAAAGCAAGTTTGGATTTCTGTAGTAATATGTACAAAACACCTCATTCCACATCTGTCATTTCTATTCCATCACTTTCTTTAACATAAACTACTGACCCCAAGGCTTTCTCAGAGAGAGATCCTGTGCCAGTCTCTTTATCTCCTGCAAGGTTTTCTTGGTTTGTGTCTTCTAATCTTATTTTCTTAGTGTTTTGAAATAACTGAGTCACTGGTTCCAACTTGCTTTTCTCAGTCCCTTGAGTTAAGTGATCATCCACTTTTGCATCCATACACATAGCAGATACCCGAGTAGCAGATTTACTAATAGAAAATCCCATTGGAACAGCTGAATAAATATATAGTAGTGGAAACGTTTCTTCAACTTGATTGCTTCAACTTGAATGCTTGAGAGAGAGAGAGAGAAATGAAAACAAGTGAATACAATGGGAATTTCAACCAACATCATGGCACTGTTCGTGTTAATGGACTGTCATGGTGATGGATCCAAAAATACAAAGTAAAACACTGCCACATCTCAGTGTTTACTTTTTCTCTGTGGGAGGGATCACAGATTCTGTAGATTCTTTGAAAGTGTTTTAAAAAAGAATTGATCAGATTTTATGTTTCAGAACCTTTCAGGAAATAGAACTTCTCTGCTTAGTCCTTGCTATCATTCTTGCTGTGAAGAATTTTAATTAATTATTAATGGGTTAAAGAAATAATTACTGAAGTCCAAACACTTCGCTAGTTGTTCTCTAAAAAAAATAAAGATAGCTAAACAATTATAAACATTTACTAAATAATAACATACCATCAAAATATATGAGGCAAAAGTAGACAGAACTGAAGGGAGAGATAGTTCTGCACTAATAGTTGGAAACGTCAGTACTCAACTCTTAATAGAACAATCAGACAGAATACAAGAATATATGAAAACAAATTAAAATAAAGTAGATTTACCAACATATATAGAACATTCCACTCAACAACAACATACACATTCTTCTCAATTAACATGGGACATTTTCCAGGATGGACCATGTTTTAAGCTATAATATGACTTTCAATAGATTTTAAAAGGTACATATACAAAGTGTCTTCTCTGATTACAGTGGGATGAAGTGAGAAATCAACAACAGAAGTAAAACAGGAAAATCCACAAACCTGTGGAAATTAAACAATAACTCTGAAACAACCAATGGATCAAATAAATCACAAGGGAAATTAGAAGATATGTACAGATGAAACAAAATAAAATAAATAAAAATGCAACATAAAAATTTATGGGATGCTGTAAAATCAGTGCTAATTGGGAAATTTATACCTATAAACATTTTAAACAAACAAAAAAGACCTCAAGTTAACAACCTAACTTTACAACTCAAGGAACTAAAAAAAGAACAAAGTCCATAGTTAACAGAAGGAATTAAATCAGAGATCAGAGATAAATGAAATAGACACTAGAAAAATAATAGAAACAATAAAATCTTTGAAACAAAAGTGGTTTCAAATGACAAATCAGAAATGAAAGCCTGGGACTTTACTACTAATTCTACAGAGAGTGCTATGAATAACTACATGCCACGAAATTGTATATCCTAGCTGAAATGGACAAATTCCTAGAAATAAAACTTACCAAGATGAAGTCATGAAAAAATGGGAAATCTGCCTAGCTGGCATAGCTCAGTGATTGAGCATCGACCTGTGAACCAGGAGGTCATGGTTCGATTCCCAATCTGGGCACATGCTCAGGTTGTAGGCTGGATCTCCTGTGGCGAACATGCAGGAGGCAGCTGACCAATGATTCTTTCTCAACATTGCTGTTAATATCTCTCCCTTGCCTTTCATCTCAAACCAATAAAATATATATATAAAAAAAGAAAACAAAATCTAAATCGACCTATGACTACTAAGGAGATTGAATAATAATAATAAAACTCTAAACAAGAAAAGCTTTTCTTTTTTATGCTATTGTAACATTTAAAGAATAAATTATACCAATCTTTCTCAAACTTTTTCTAAAAAATTAAAGAGGAGGGACCACTTTCTACTAGTAATTTATTCTAAGAGGCCAGCATTACCCTGATACCAAAGCCAGGCAAACACAGTGCAAGAATACTACAGACCAATAACCCTTATGCACATTGATGCAAAAATCCTCAACAAAATACTACAGCATATTAAAAGGGTCATATATCATGACCAAGTGGAATTTATTCCTAGAATAAAAGGACGACTCAGCATATAAAAATTGATTAATGTAATGCACCACACTACAGAATAAAGAAAAAGAGCCACGTGATTGTTTCATTTGATGCAGAAAAAGCATTTATAAAAATCAGCACCCTTCCATGATAAAAACACTCAACATACTGGAAAAAGAAGGAAACTAAATAAAAACCATATGTGAAAAAGTCCTAGTGAATATCATATTCAATGGAGAAAGTGTTTCCTCTAAAATCAAGAATAAGGCAAGGATGCCCATTTTTGCCACTTCTATGCAACATAATACTGGAAGTTCTAGCAGAAAGAAATAAAAGGCATACTAATCAGAAAGGATGAAATAAAATTATTTGTCTTCATAGATAATTTGATCTTGTATGTAGAAAGCTCTAAATATTCCACACAAAAAAATTGTTAGAATAAATGAATTCAGCAAAGTAGTAGGATACAAAGTTAACATGGTTAAAAACGGTTAACAAAAACCAGTTGCATTTCTATATACTAACAATGAACCTGAAAAGAAATTAATAAAACCAATTTCAGCCCTAGTTGGTTTGGTTTAGTGGATAGAACTTTGGCCTGCAGACTGAATGGTCCCAGGTTTGATTCTGGCCAAGGGCACATGCCCAGGATGCAGGCTTGATCCCCAGTGTGAGGCATGCAGGAGACAGCTGATCACTGATTCTCATTATTGATGTTTCTATCTCCTCCCTTCCTCTCTGAAATCAATTTAAAAAATTTCTTTACAGTGGCATAAATAAAATAATAAAATACTTAACAGTTAACCAAGGAAGTTAATCCAAAGATTATGACTGTCCAATAAAAACATGGAAGATGCTTACAGAGACAGAGTCCTCACAAAGATATTGGTTCTGTAATGGGGCCAAAACAGCCCTGGGTAAAGACTGCTTTGGACCTAACAGCTTAAAAGCAAGCTTTTAAAGCAGCAGTGTCCGATAGAACTATTTTCATTGATTATACAATATAGTAGCCAGTAGCTGCGTGTGTACATTTGAAATGTACACAATACAAATGAGGAACTAAAGTTTAACTTCTACTTAATTTTATTGGCATAAATTCAAATAGGCATTTGTAGTTAGTAGTTCCTATTTTCGATAGGACGGCTCTAAAGAATCCAATTGTTTCCAAGTAAATGTACAGCATCTCAGAGCAAAGCCTAAATATACTTAATCACAAAAACCTCCAGCACCTAACCATGTAAAATCTGCAATGTCTGGTAGGCAATAAAAACTTATGAGCTATGGAAACAAGCATAAAAATATGAATGATAAATAGAAAAAATTAGTTGACAGAAACATACCTAGGAATGACACAAATGATAGAATTAGTATGCAAGGACCTTAACAGCTATGTTAATATATATCCACATTTCCAAGAAGGTAGAGCAAAGCATGAGCATTATGAGTAAGAAATGGAAGTTACTAAATGAAAATATACTTGATGTGAAAAAAATCCCATTGTGGATGGGGTTAACACGGCCTAAAGAAAGAATAGTGAACTTGAATATATATCATAGAAACTACCTAAAAAATAAAATACACAGAGCATCAAGCAGCTTAACATGTGCAATTTGAGCCTCCGATTTATTTTTATTTTTTGCGACTAGGAGAACAAAAAGAAGAAAAAAAAAAGGCAACATACCGATTTTTCTTAATAAAGTTTGTGAAATGATAAAGAAACTAAGGGAATAGAAAAGTCAGACTTTAGCATTGCAGTGGAGTGTGACAGAAGGAAGAGCACATAGATACTATGAAAGGGTTAATTGGGGCAGGATGGAGCACTGACCACTCTTGCTTTTCTTGAGGGAAGAATATTTTTACCATCTTGGGCTGGGGAAGAAATTAATAGTCCTTAATATTTTTAAAGGAAAATCTTCACATCCTGGTTTGACTATAAAGTAATCTTTTCTTTACATTACTTCCTTAATTAGGTATAATTATATTTCAGAGGAAATGTACCTCTTGGGACCTCTGACTTCTTTAACTAAAATAGCAGCAACACTCAATTTAACTTTATAGTATCTTGCTATACTTACAAAGTATATGATCTGGCAAAATAAATGCTACAAAATATGAGAAAATGTAACAACACACATAATGATGGAAAAATATATGGGACTTATTTAAATGTACTTCTATAAAGAAATTTGTTCTAACATAAAATTTGTTTATGCTCTGCAATAATATATAATGGGAAGAAGTGAGTACTTACCTGGCAAAAACAGGAACTGTTAGTCTCTTCAAATGTGAGATTACTTTTGAAATACACAGGCCAATACAAAATCAAGATAATCAGAGCACAGCTTTAAAAACCTAGTTATCTGTTTTCATCTGTGGAAAAGACAGGGAGATAAAGCCACCATTAAAGTTCAGAAACCTGCAGGCTATTTGAGAAAGGTGGGACACATAAAACATTCAGAAACATAAAGACATTTTTTTTTCCCCCAAGCTGGGCTCCGAATTTAACCCTGACTGGACCGTGCCAGGCTGACCGGGGCCGCGGGTCTGCAGACTCCCCGACTGCAGGCCACCGGTGCTCACCCAACAGGCCGGCTCCTTCCCTGGGTGCCGCTGTGGGACCAGACTTGGGAGGCTCCCCCAAACCACCCAACTGCGGCAGGACAGCGCGTTAACCTCCCAGCACCTAAGAGAAGCTCTGGGGAATAACGAGTTCAACTGAACGTGGGTCCCGAGTGGTGCCTGATCGCTGGGAAAAGTGGTCCAAAGCCGGAGCATCCAAGAAGCAGGTGTTCCAGAGCTTTGGGAAGGTGGCCGAAGGACGCACAGGCCTGCGCATGCGCGTCCCTTCCAGCGCGGTGGCAGCATCAAGTGTTAGGAACTAAGTGGCGGCTGGTTGCTAGGAGACGGGACGCTGGGGGCGGGGCGTAGAGGCTCTGCGGGGGCGTGGGCCAGCGCGGCTAGGCTGGACCGGAAAAGGCCTTGCCCCGGCACGTGTGAGGACCGGGGAGTGGGTCCACGCGTGGCTAGGTGCGTGTGTGCGCGCGCAGGTCTAGGAGGCCCCACGAGAGGGAGGGTGGGGCCCGATACGCGTGCGCACAGGGGCTGCGGGCGCGGGGCTCCGAGGCGGAGCGGAC